GAAGTACTACAAATAACAACTAACTCATAGAAGGGTTCTTCTCATCTAGTTCTTGTTGTTGTGCAGCCATTTTAAGATAAGTGAAAGTCTTACCAGACCCAGGTGGTGCAATTAGACCTGTTATACCATTCTGAGCAAATAAGAACTTGTCATGTATAGGCTTTATCTGAGCATTTTCTAACTTCCTCTTGTTCTTGTTTAAAACATTCTCAAATTTCTTGTCAATGTCAGCAAACTTTTTTTCTAACATATTTTAGAAAATTAAAATTTTTATCTTTTAGAAAATGTCGAGCGATTTCGCTATCTATATTCGAGACAAGCTTTTCGACAGCAAAACATCTGTCGACCATAAAATCTTACATAGTGTAAACAAGAAAGGGGAATTTGTTCTAAAGTTCTGTTTCTGGGAATATGACAAGAACCATAAAACATTAAGCAGAGCAGTCTTAAAATTGTCAATGACAGACTGTTGACAGAGATGACACCGATTGGAAAGATGAAGTCCAACAAAAGTTCTTAGAATGCAAAGAAGACACATGCGCTGTTCTTGAAGATGAAATAGAAAACAGAATAGATGAGCTATTAAAGGACAAAGAACTTTTACATAAATATGGTTCTGAGAAATTTGACATATCTCCACCAGAAAAGAAGAAGAGAGAAAAGAAAGAAAAGAAAGTAGAAGAAGAGAAGAAAGAACCTGAACCAATTCCAGAGAAAAAGAAATTTGACATGTAAAAATAAAATTTTATTTTTAGAACATTTCTGGGTCAATGTCAATGTTCTCTTCCTCTTTAGGAGTAAACACTGGCTTAGACTCTAAAATCTTTTTACCCAATTTACCTTGAACTTCTACAACTTTAGACTCATAATATTCATAGTCGTCTGCTTTCTTTGGTTCATAAGGTATAACAAGTTTGTATGCTTTGCCTTCTTTAAGGTTTGAGAACCTTCTGTCAAAACTTTCTTTGACTGTTAACAAACCTTCTATGTCTAAGTCTTCAAATTTCGCACCATTTTTAGTCACAATAGCAAACTTAACTGGTTCGATGTTCCAAACTTTGCTGAATGAAGACTTTTCAAAATGGTAGAAGTAAACATTCAAATATGTGAATGGGTCTAGTTCTTCTTTAAGTCCTGACATGTACTTGTTTACTGAGATGAATTTTGTCATCTTTTCTATCGGATAAAAAAATATTTTTTTTTAAAATTTACTCAGAAAAAGTTTTCTTTGTATATACACCATTCTGAACATCTAAAAGACTTTTGACATTTGCCAAGAATGTTCGTTTAGAAGCTGTCATATAACCATATTCTTGACAATATTGTTTATACGAATCGTACAATGACCTTTCATCTAATGACACAAAGTCAGTTTCATCTATGAACAGTTCATATACACTCTTGTTTGCTTCTAACAATGTTTGTCTCTCTTCGGTATGTGGAATTTGTCTTGGATTGAACTTAGAAATATCTAATGTCATGAAATATGAGAACAAGTGGTTGTAAAAGTCAGATGTCAAAGTTTCTGCTAAGTCGTCAAAATATTCTGTATCTTGCATATGAGCTTCTGACGTTCTGACAACTACATATCTTCTGTCAGAACTTTCTAACTTCATCGGAACAGCATTGTTTGAAACCATAATGAAGTTTGCAACATTTTCACAAACTCTTTGGTCTTTATACTTTCTTTCAACAACTCCAACTTTGTCTGTTATAAGACTCTTCAAAGCATCTGAGTTCAAAACTTTTGTTGTATCTATACTTTGAAGTTCATTGCAAACTATAAGTTTCATATTCTCAATTGAAGAGTTAAATTTACCGCAGATGTTTTCTAAGTTTGTCATATTAGGGTTCGAATAACCTTCTAATAGTTTGCATAAGATATCTGTAAAGAAAGTATTCTTACCTGTTCCTTGTTTTCCAATTATAATGAGAGCAGTTTCATTTTTAGCACTTGGATGTTGTAAGATATTTGCAAACCAACATAAGATATACTCATAAACCTTTTCGTTTCCATTGCATATAATTTCTTTGACATGGTCTAACCAAGCTTCTATAATATTTTCTTTCCATTCTACTTGTTCGTATTTATATCCAGTGAAGATAGAATAGAAGTTTGGAGAAGGTGTATAGAACTTTATACCTCGAACTGAAAAATCTTCTAACTTTGACAATAAGATATCCCAAGCATCTAACATCTTCATTCCAACTTGTACGACTTTTATTTTCTTAAGTTTCTGTCTACATTCTTGTTCAGACACTATTGTTGCTCTTGGTTTTGTTAAAGACAACATCCCATTCTTTCATGACATAACATTCTGGGGCAGAGTCAACATAAATGACTAAACGTTTCAAATTCTCGACTGCTTTGTTATAGTCTCTAAATGGACACATATTTCTGAATGCTTGGAAGTCATAAAAATCTGAAACATCTATTCTGTACATTTTTATAAAAATAAAAAAAATATTATTTTTTTATTCTTGACTTTGTTGTTCCATTTGTTGCATTTGTTGTTCTTGAGCTATTTGTTGTTGAAGTTGTTCTTGTAATACAATACTTTCACCAGTTGCATCTTCCAATTCGAAACTTTCTGCCGTCATTGACAAATACATAGGACATAAAAGTTTTACAGGAACAAAGTTTGCGTCAACTAATGTCAACGTTATACTTGCCAAAGTGTTTGAGTTCACTAAGGTTGAAAATTCTGCATTCGAATGAACAATAGGCAAACCAGCAGAGAAAGTATTGTTTATACGCATAAGTATCTTTTGGTCATAATAGTTTCTGTCGACATTCGAATAACACTTTGAACCTAAGTTTGAAACGATATATAAGATTGGTGTGCTTAATGTCAATGGAATAGACATTCCTTGTATGACACCTTTTCCTGTTATAGGAAACTGTTGGTAGTAAAAACCAGAAATAAGTTTTGTATTATAGCTCATATTGTTTATAGTAAACTCAGTCGGACATCCAAACATAATGAAACCTGCTCTAGTTGCAGCACATGTTACACCGTCCTTAAAGTATTAAATAAGTCAACAAAACCTGTTGGTGGTATATCTGAGTAAGTATCTTCAAAGGAGTATTTTTTACCATTCACAACAATAAAGTCTTCTGGTGTCAAAAGAGCAAAACAGGCTTTAGTCGTCATTGTGTTTAAGGTTAGTTTACAATATCGTCCTTGAGGACTTTGTAAGTTTGTTGTTATAGAATTATATGACTCAGGGTTTTTAGTCGTAATAGTATAAACCATTATGTCTTCTGCTATTTACTTAGCAAATAAATTTTAATGAAATGTTGTGGTCGTCAAATATTTTTATAACGTCTGGGAAACTATATTTTAAGTTCAACGTTTCACCTCCTTTCATAACGTATATCTTGTCAATGGCATTATATGAAACACCACAGCAACTAATGTCGGGTTCTATTTCTTTGATGTTTATATCGTCTGCCTCTGTCAAAAGTTTCAATAGTTCTTTCAAAACTTCATGAGGTGCAATGACATATGAGTTCACTTTTACAGGGTTGTGTTCGACCAAGTTTAACATTATACTTAAAGCTTGACAAATCTTCTCCTGAGTTTGAAGTTTGTCTTTCAGTTGTTGGTAGTCGTTTCGAATATCTGCAACAGAACTTAAGTCTCTGTTAACTTCAGGATATGTTGGTTCTTTTACAGGAACAATTGTTATACCATCTTCGTCTTCGTATGGTTTCCCCACTTCAACATCTCTGCCTTTGACATTGACAACAACACTTTGACTGTTTGTTTGAGTTGGTGAATTTAACTTCACATCTGCCACCGCCATTAAACCTTTTGAAACACTTACGCTTCTATTTTTCGGAAATGACATTTTACTTAGAATAAAAAGATGGACGTATTTGAGTATCTCTTCGAATTGAAGCAGAACAAAGTTTATACTCACAAACAATACAAATACATTGACAGAATAGTTCTTTACACAAACAATGGAAAATGTTATAGAATAGCAATATTTGCTGAACCAAAATATTTTCATAAAGCAAAGAAAGTTGGTATAACTGAAATGGTGAAAGTTCTTGAAGCAGACAAAAATATAACTTCAAAACTTACAGATATTTCTAAAGGTAAGTTTATAATACAATATTATGTCAAAACTGGCGTACTGTCAATATTTGACGGAGAGAAGTCAGTTCAAGAACAACTTACTGACCTGCTGCCAAAATCTGCTCGATGGAAGCTGTCGTTATGCCAATCTGAGGAGCCCCAGCAGGTTTCATCGAACGAATCTTCAAAAGAGCATCTTCCGTGAAAAGTGCTATTGGTTTTGTAAACTTCTTTGCTTTCAATTCATCTGGACCGTCTCTGTCACCAGTATATTGTATTTGAACTGTACCAACAGTTGAAATACCACCCATAAAGTCTTCTGAGTCAGCAAATGGAATGCCAAGCCAAAAGTTTGAACGGTCTCCATTTGTATATTGAGTTTTTTGACTTCCTGTATGAGTCCATACTTTCACATATGGCATAATAGAACTTTGCATTTCAGGGTTAATGGTTGTTGTGAAGTTGTTGTTAAAGTTCATAGCATCTAATGTCAAGTTGTATGACCTCATATCCTCAACTGTAGAATATTCTTCTCTTGGATAATATTTGCCATCTATGTTTATATGATATTTAATACCGGGGTTGTAGAAACAAGAATAGTCATTTATAGTTCGTCTGAACAGTACAAACATAGTATCTGCATGTTTCATTGCAGTTGTTAAAGCAATATCTGTTCTTGCACCTGGGTCAGCACTTTGGTTTCCAACTTCACCTGCAAAGTCTTTGACAGATATTTGGTGTATAGGGAACATAAGTGGAACTGCAATATATTTGGCAGCTAAAGCATTTGAAATATCTGGGTCCAACATATAGACTGCAAGTCTGCTTTCTATTCTCTTGCATTCAAACTGTTCGCATGTGAACTTAACTGGGTCCCAAGCAGTTCCAGCAGCATTGAAATAATAGTTTACTTCAGTGTTGAGGTTTGAGAAACCAAAGTCTAAGTCAACTTTGTCTTTGCAAAAGTCGGCGAATGACGTTTTATTTGTTCCCGTTACGTCTGTAAGAGTGAATGGGTCTTGTGTTGGTGCAATGACTAAGTTATTTTTGCTTGGAGTAAGTTCAATAGAAATTTTTCCTGCCCAGTTTGGCAAGTATCTTAAAAACCTGAAGATGAGGAAAGATGACAAAGGAACTCTAAGTTTCAGTTTTACTTTAGTGGCAGCAGTTCCATCTGAACCAGAAAGGTTAACATAAACTCCTGGAACGTTAGGGTCAAGTCTTCTTATTTTCTCAATAGTTGCATACTGGTCTGTTTGTTCTCTAGCTTGTGGTTGTACTGAGTTTCTCAAAGCGAACCATTCATAGTTTGCCCATGTTACTGTTTGAACTAAGTCAGAGTTAGAATATATCTTATATCCCATGAAAACTTCTGGAGCATATTGGTATCCGACATAGAAAATTCCATTGCAACCTTTCTTGTCAGACAACTTGGCAGAAGGTTTTATTTCAATGTCTTGTTCCACGTATAAGAATGAGTTGTCAATAGAAATAATATGAAACCTGTCGCAAGCAATATCTACTGTTGTTGAAGAACCTTCTCCAAACTCACCTACGTTTCCATAAGAAACAGCAGTTGTATATTCGTAAGTTCCAGGAACTATTTCTGACCTTCTAATGGCATTGTCGCATTCGTTATACCATTCGGAAACATTTCCGTTCATGGCATCCAAAACTGTTGGCGTTATATTCTGAGCGGCGTACATTTCATATGGGTAAAAATATAGAATAGTTGGATTTATATGTCATAATTGTTTCGTACCAAGCTTTACTTTCTTCCTGACTGAGTTTTTAACTCTTCTTTTTCCTTCATTGCCACTACTTTCACTAGATGAAGTTACTTCTTCACTACTTTCACTTTGTTCTACTCTTCTTCTTTGGTGTCGCTTTTGGTAACTTGCCCTCTGCTTCAAGTTGTTGCATCTTTGCCTCATGTTCACCTAGTATGTTGTAAATTTCCCATGTCCTTTTTGCCTTTGGGCTCTGGTCGCCCATCTCAGGTAACCTATATCCTAGAAAGATTTTGTCATAGTTTGTATTTGAGTCTTCGCGTATTGTTTGCATGACTCTTTCCTGAGTTTCCGGTTCAAGCTCTTCAAACAGAGCTTGTCCATATGGAATAAGCTCGTTTCCAAATATATGTTTTTGTAGCCATTCTGGTTTTCTTTCCATGTTACCAATAATATCTTTTGTGAATGGGAAAGCTTTTACCCACTGTTTCAGTCTTGCGTCATTTATTTCTGTAGTTGGTTTTATTTTGTCAAGGAACATGTTTTTCAATACTAACATTTCATTTGGTACTGTCCATTTGAGTTTTCTTAAATATTCATCCCTTCTCATTTTATTGTCTGCAAAGTAAGTTTTTATGACATTTTGCAAACTTTCGTTTGCAAGGTCATGTACAATAGGTTCTCTTCCTTCTCTCTCCCTAACTTTCTTTCTAAACTCTTCACCAAATATACCATCTCTATGGTTCTGTGTAGTTCCTTGAGATAAATGTTCTAGAACGTCAGGTGTTATATTTCCTTCAGCCATGTTCATTTCATACTGGTCCAAAATATCTGCATGTTTCATATCTTTCAATGGCATTAAAGCCGCGCTGAAAATACCAGCTATATCTGGTTCACCATTCACTTCCATTGCGTCTACAACTTCTTGGAATTGTGGTTGTAAGTTTATGAACCACCTATCCGGATTAGCTTTATGACCCCATCTCATTGTAGTTCCATAGTCTGCAGAAACAAAAGTAGGTTTTGTTTCCATATTGGTTAGGTTCTGAATGAACTTTAAACAATGTTTCGTTTCTATATGTTTTGTTGAAATTTAACCTTTTATTTTCACCGAGTTCAGCCAAAGATTGAACGTTATATGGTCGTAAGTAAAAAGGATTATTGTATTTGCGTACATTTTCTTTCAGTACTTCCATTCTATGCTGAATATTTTCATCTGATGTTGGAGTCTTTTGTATGTCGGCGAACATTTTTCGATATTCTTCTACTATGTCAGCCGAATTTTTCTTAGACTCTTGGAAAGATTCCATATTCTCCGCATACTCTTGTTGAGGGTCAAGATTTTTCGGCTGTTCCAAATCTTCATCTAGTTCTGTGAAGTTAGTTTCCAAAGGAGGGACTTGTTCGTTTCCTTCAGGCTCTTCTAGCTGTTGTTGCTGAACTATTTCTTCCATGTCTGGTTGTATCTGAACTTCTTCCTGTGGAGTTTCTTGTACCTCATCTGGTGGCATTTCATATATTCCGAGACCGTTTTTAAAAAGTTCCCTATCTAAGTCATCCGGACTCATAAACCTTTCTTCTTTCGTTCCGTCTCTATTTTTTACGCGTTTCATGAAGAGAGTTGAATTATCATTTAGCTCTGACACCAAATATCTCGGAGTAAATTCATTCATGTCATTTGGATGATATGCTATTAAATCATATCCCTTAGCGAGCTTGTATTTTCCAGGTTTGAAATTATATCCCATTTGGTGCTGAGCCATAAAGCTAAATAGGTTCGGGTCAGTATTTCCTTCCTTGAACTTTCTAATAGCTTCTTTATATCTGTCACTAAAGTCAAGAGTATCTGGGTAACCATAATCTTCCTTAAGCATTTTTAAGAATTCTTGGTTTCCTTGTTCTCTACTTCTTTTATGTCCTTGCTCTGGTTGTGGTTGTTGTTGTGCAGGGTTTTGAACTGTTGGTTGCTGTGCTGGTTGTGCTGGTTTTGGTTGTGGTGCTGGTTGTGCTGGTTGTGGAGGTGGTTGTTGTGCTGGTTGTGGAGGTGGTTGTTGTGCTGGATTTTGAATTGTTGGTTGTTGTTGTTGTGCTGGATTTTGAACTGTTGGTTGTTGTGTTGGTTTTGGTGCATGCCTGTGTCTGTGTCCATGTGACGATGTAAATGTTTTAGGTAGTCCTGGTGCAGGTGCTTCTCTTGGAGGGTTTGGTGGTATATAAGTTCCACTAGCTAGTATATAAGTTCCACCAGCTGGTATATAAGTTCCACCAGCTGGCACATATGTTCCATCTGCAGCATAATGTCCTACCTGACTTTTCGTTCTTAAGAAAGCATTTACTAGGTCTGTTTTGGTCTGTTGTAACTCTTTTTCTTGACTTTCCACAACAGTTGCTCTAACGGCGTCATAGGCACTTTGAACTGCCTGTCTCGTTGCTGCATCTGTTATTTTCGTCATATTTTGTGCTACTTCTCTTAACTCTTTGTCGAAACCTTCAGACTTCAGTTTCTTTCCAGATGAGAAGTCGTTCACTAGTTTCACCTTACTATGAAGAGCTTCGAAGGCATTCTTAAAGTCGGCATTCATTAAAGCTTCATTTGAACTGTCTTCATCCGCTTGTATTTTTGTCCTTATTGACCCTATAAGTTGGGCTGCTTTAGCGTTGGCTTGGGCATCTAACCAGTCATTATTAGCTTTTATATATTCTGCGCTTTTCATTGCCTTTTGCATGGCTGCGTCGTTATTTTTACTTTCTTGTGCTAAGTTTTCATACTGTACGGTTTGGTTTTGCAACTGTAAAAGTTTTTCTGCCTTTACATTTGCTTCAACTTCTTTTTTATACTCATCGCTATCCATATATGTCTTCAGGGCTTTTTGTTTTATCTCTTCATCTTTCAGTACTTTATATTGAGTAGTATGGTTTTTCAAATTTATAACATCTTGTTCCATTTTTGCTACTTCTGCTGCTTTTTCTGACACTTTTTTGCATATTCCTCTGTACTTAGTTCTTTCAGTTGTTCTTCTTTCTTCTTTTTCTCTACGTTTAACTCATTGAGTTTCTTTGTGTGTCTGTCATATTCAGTTTCTTTTCGTTTTCACTTATTTGTTTCTGTATGTCTATGTTTGACTTTTTGACATCTGCTATTTGATTTTTGAGTGAACTCAAATTCATTTGACTTTGAGGGTTATAAGCTGTTCCGTCTGCAGCTCCACCATAGCCTGCCATTTTCGCTAAAAGTGCCGCTCTTAAACCTCCACTCTGTGCACCAATAACTCGGTTTAAAAGCATAGGGTTGCTTGACATTTGTTGCAACATAGTGGGGTCATTCATCATTTGTTGTTGCAACTGTTGTTGTGGTGTCAGTTTTACTATTGGATGTTTCAATGCTCTCTTCCTCTTACGTATATTCTTACGTAGCTTACGTGGCATTTTAAGTGAAGTAAAAAACGGTTTTTGTAGTTTAAAACATGCGGCTGTCACTTTTTTGTTTGCATATCTCTTATATAGTGAAAAACGGTTTTGTCACTTTTAAAAAACGGAGTTGTCTGTCACTTTTTAAAAACGGTTTTGGTTTTTATCACCGGCTGGTCGGCTGGGGTTCGGTCCTCCTCTTGGGTCTTGGGCAAAATTCTTAGGGCTAGAAGGGGCGCAGCCCCTGGAAGCCCCTCATACCTGACCTAAAACTCTATTCAAAAATTAAGCTCGTTTTGTTTTTCTGGAATTAGAAGCTTTCGGACGATAGATATTGGAATTGAATCTAATTTAGTAAGTATTGCTACAGGAGCATTCACTGGCACATCAATAACACAAATATATCTTCCCAAAAATTTATCATATATTAGTGAAGCTGCATTTATGAGTGCTTCCCTTTTTAATGAAATTATTTGTGACCCACAAAACAATTACTACTCAGTAGAAAACGGTGTTCTATACAACAAAGAAAAGACTTCAATAATAATGTGCTTCCAGAGAAACTTCACATCTTTCATTATGCCAGAAACTGTTGAGACAGTATGGAGAGCAGTTTTTGCTGGACATATCATCGAAAATATTACTTTTAGTTCAAAATTAAGAGCTATTTCCGAATCATGTTTCCAGGAATCACACATTGTAAATGTTACAATTCCAGATTCAGTAAAAAGTATTGGCGATTCTGCATTTTATCATTGCAAATATCTCAATTCAGTTGTTATTGGTAATGGAATTACTATTATCCCTGCGAAATGTTTTGCAGAATCTAATATTTCGAATATTATATTTAATGACAAGATTACAACTATCAAAGGGTCTGCTTTTCTTAACTGCATTAACCTAAAATATATGAAACTTCCGAAAACTCTAACTAATATCGAAGGAAATGTTTTCCCGCATGATGTAGTTCTTGATTTTCCCGAGGACGCTCCATTTTCTTTTGACAACCAAGGTTTATTATATAATTCCAGCAAATCAATCATTTACATGCGTTTTAGTGATCTTGAGCACTATGATATCCCATCTACTGTTTCTATTATTTCAAATGGTCTTTTCTCTTCTCTCGGAAAACTGAAATCTATAAATTTCACATCAAACTCTAGTTTAACAACAATTCTAGATGGAGCTTTTTGGGGATGTATAAATCTTGAATATATTGATTTTCCAAATACACTTACTTATATTGGTAATCATGCATTCAGAGATTGTAATTCATTAAAAACTATTCACTTCCCAGATTCTTTGATAGCAATTAATGTTTATGCATTTCAAAGTTGCAGAAAGCTAACTGAGGTTCATTTTGGAAGAAACATCAAATCAATTGGTATGACATTTTATGCATGTGGTTCTTTAGAAACAGTAATATTTGTAGGATCAGATGGAACAGATTTAGGTAAAAATTCTTTTATTTATTGTTCAAAACTGAAAACTATTATTTTAAGAAATATCACAAAAATCCAAAGTAATTGCTTTTGGGGTTGTACTTCCTTGCAATCAATAGAAATTCCTGATACAATTCAAATAATAGGTTCAAATGTATTTATAAATTCAGGTATCGAAAATATTACATTTTTTGGGAAATCCTTCAATATCTATTATTCCGTCTCAAGCATTTAGCGGAGCATCTAAACTTCGATACATCACATTACCTCAATGCATCGAAGAAATTGGAACAAATGCATTTGCGTCTACGAATATATCAACATTCACAGTTCCACATGATACAAAGTCAATCTCAGATTATGCATTCAAAAACTGTTATAATCTTGATACATTCATCATTGGTGAAAACAGTTCATTCAAATCACTTGGTTACTTTGTTTTCGAAGGATGTACATCACTTCGTCAATTTGTTTGCAATGAAAGCATGTACTTCACAATCGACAACAATGCTCTTTTCGATAAGAATAAGACAGTACTCGTCTGCTTCCCTCCTGCATCACCATACAAGTTCTTCTATATCCCATCTACAATCAGAAATATCTCAGCAGGTGCATTCCTTGGATGCAAGAACCTTGTCAACATCCTCATCCCAGATAACTCTGTCGAAACTATCTACCGCTATGCATTTGCAGATTGTACATCTCTCACCCACATCAACATCCCTATTTGTGTTAAAACTATCCAGACACATGCATTCTCTAACTGCATCCATCTCACGTGTGGCATTGACATAGAGAACACAACAGAATCATTTCTTGAACATCTTTATCTAGAATGTCATCTTAATCGAGACTCTATCAAATCATGTAGCATCATCACATGCAAGAAGTCCAATCATTACCGATATTTTACATCCTTCTATGTCTTCACACTTAGTGAAGGTACTGAACTCGGTTTATTTTGATTGTTTATTTATTAAAACATTAATTTAATTACCGTACATAAATATATAGTTTTATTTAAATACAAACAGATAAAATAAAGCTAGATATAATACAAATAAAAATATTAAAAATATTAAACATTAAAATATAAAATAAAAAGTTATGGTTCGACAAGATATGTGAACATCTTGCCGCCTTTGACATCAATTTCACCGCGTTCTTTGATGTCGAACTGTTGACCATAGATAAGTTCATAGACTGGACGTGAAATGTGGACTTTCATTGGAACACCTTTGTTCTCCATCTCGTGTGCGATGTTGATCGCGGGACCAAGGATTTCGAATGTTGGTTTCTCTGTGCCAATAACACCGGCAACAATAGGACCACCGGTGTTGATGCCAACGCGGATACGAAGTTTCTCGTTCTCTTTCTCGTCAATGTCAAGAAGTTTCTTGATGACTAAGCAGCCGAAGTCAACAACTTCTTTAGCATGGACTGCAGGTTGGTTAACTTCGTCGAAGATGCCACCTGCGGCCATGTAGCAGTCACCAATGCACTTGATCTTTGTCATTGTCTTGTGTGCATTTGTGATAGCATCGAACTCTTTGAACATGATGTTAAGCATACACATGACATACTGTGCATCATGGCTACCACACCATGGTGTGAACTCAACAACATCTAAGAAGAGGACTGTAGCTGACTGAACACTGAATGAGATGTTCTTCTCACCTGCTTGAACACGTGGAACAAGCATCGCTGGAAGGATAGATGCAAGCATTGCATCTGACTTCTTCTTCTCTTCTTCAATCAATTTCTCATGTAAAACATTTTGTGTCTGATCATGACCTGAGTAAATTCTTCTTCCGCAAACACATGAAGATGAAAACTCAATGTAAACCTTATTTCCATCTTTCTTAGTATAAACTAATTCTGTGTTCTTCGTGAAAACAGATTCTATTTTACCTTCACATGTGAACCTTCCATTAGTAAAGAAATCACTGATTTTGGTTCCTTCGATATCATTTGGTTTCAATCCGAATAATTCTTGAAAAGAATTATTTGTGGAAATAATCTTTCCGGTTTCTTCTTCTGATACAATTACAACATCATTTAATCTGTTAACAACTTCATTCGAGAATCAAATGTGTTTCTCTGTATTATCTTCGTTTTTATGACTGTAATCCCCAGAAATCAAATCCATGATTTTCTGATTGTTTAATATAACTGTCGGTGGGCATCTTAATATTTGAATTAATGCAAACTTTAGCAAATTGTTTTCGTGTTGTGCCGAAAAGATAATGATAGCAGAAAGAATGAATGTGATTAAAATAAATATTATTGAGTAATTTGTAACATTCTTTCCACACGCATCTATATTCTTAACAATTGTGGGAACCAATCTCTCTCCAGCTTCATAGAAGAAAGCCTGATATAATTCAATGGCTCCAATTTGCCAAACTTGGTTTACACCTGAATTTCTTGAAGCAGGGTAAATTGGGTTTTCTGAATCGGTCATCATTGATACAATCTTCTTCAATAGAGATTGAGTTAAGTATAGTTGATCAGAAGCTGAAAAGCAATGAGCAGATTCAATAGTGGTCTTTGGTATTGTATTATCACATGCAAGGATTGATGATGCAGTATGAAGAGCTTCATCCATACCTTCAAAAGGAACTTCGTTATTGGAAGCATCTCCTAGTACAATCTTCAGGAAATATGTTGCTTGTAGTGGTAAAATCCTCTGGATATTCGAAATTTCATCTGAGACACTGATGCATGAACCTTCAAATTCTGGGCCGCTCTTTTCAATAATAATCTTAAATAATCTTGCCATAATTGAATATATAAGAATGTTATAGATCCGTACAGATAGTTTATGTGGTGGCAATTATGGACAAGAGTAGTTAATGAATCTGAATATTGATCAATCATAAGATAATATGCACCGCAAGTAGCAATTACAATGAAAAGCAAGCAATACAAAATTAAAGTGTGCATTGAAGTGGAAGTTGATCCATCAGTAATTGAAGAGAATAATTTAATTATTGATTCTTCTTGGCGACTAATTTCGGCATCCTTCATGGAGTCTGTGTTCATGGATTTATCCGATCCATCTTTGAGTTTATTTAATGAGTATGAAATATTGGAAACTACTGTCTTTGGAAGTGTTGTGAGAACTCCCAAAGTTTGTTCTCTGTTGAACTTTAATATATGTAACATATAGAATGCTATAAATATATAAGTAATTACATTAATCGATATTAAAGATAACAAAATTGCAAGTAGGAACTTGTCATGCAATTCATGGTAATCTTTGATATAATTAATCATTTCTTCAAGGGCTGAATTCTTAGCAGCTGTTGGAAGGTTATTATTATTCCTCGCAATCAATGAATCGGGACCTTTAACAACATCTGGAGTGATTTCTGGAAGATCTAACAACTTTCCTACATGATTTGCAATCATATAAGAGATTTCATTCGATGATGATCTTGATTTTGTAAAATTCTTAACTGTCAAGTAGAAGAAGAAATATTGCGAGTTTGCAAAAATATAATCTCTGACTTTTTCAATGTGTTTATCACCAATCTTAAACGATCTAAGACCTGACATTTGTTGACTTGCTGCCGAAACAGATTGTGCAAAGTATCTGACTATATCTACAGAATTTCTGTAATCTCCATATGCGGACATTGGGAAATTATCAATTAAATGTAGTCTATCCATCATGTGATTGCCTGTTGCTGGATCAATTAATTTTTCCATCATGTACTTTCCAATAACAGCAGGCATTATATTGATAAGATTTCTGCAGAATGCAATTCCTTTCATGTAATAAATTGGCTGTCTTAGTTCATTGGCAAATGGATCAAATAAAAGGTTTGCACAGATTATTGGGATAATTGTGAAGATAATAAAGCAAACAATTGTTGATAACTTCATGAATCTGATAGAAGGAATTGTATGATTGTTGATTTGCTTTGATATTGATTCAATAGCTTCAATGTTGACATCATCTTCAATTGTTTCTTGCTCCATAGCAAAAGATTCTGTGTTTTCTGCCGTTGGATTGTTTTTAATTGTATCCGAAGCAACTAAGTAATCTGGAATCTTTGGAAATGCTTGCATTCCAAGATAGTTAATAGTGTCTTCTACAATTCTGATTCCTCTTTGAAGTCTTGCAATATCATCAATACTCTTCTTATATCCAATTGCATCACCTTTGATATCGTGAAGGAACTTTGCATAGTTTCTATAAACAAATCTGTTATTTGGATATAACATTTTAAGATAATTAACTTCTACTTCAGACTCTTTCACGCTTTGGTAAGCATTAACAATTGCAGGACTCATTTCATTTACTGAACCTTGGAGAATTAAGTCCCAAATATTTCTCAGCTGGTTTCTGGTTTTCGAAAATTGTTTCATAAGCTTTGAGACTTTGCTCTTCAATTCAGGTGTGTATCTTGTTTCTCTTGTCTTGGTTATGTAAGATGCATTTGAGCAAACAATCTTGGCTAATTTTGATTTGTTGTTGATCAAGTTCACATTTTGAATGATGAATAAAAGTGTGGAAGTGTTTTCAGGATAAATTGCGGCAAACTTTGCATAGACTGCCCAAATGTCTAAGTGTTCACGCCATTGGTTGATCGCCAATTTAAATATTGAGAAGTCAACACAACTTGGGTGGCTATACATGAAACCTGTAATCACAAGTTGCTTGAACTTCTTCGTGCTGATCATACTTACTTCATTTGTTGACTCAATTTCATCTAAAATTCTTAAGTATGAGCGTTCTCTTCTCTTGATGAATAAGTATGATAATAAAAATACAACAATGCATATTCCTGCAAACAATACGAAGTAGTATAATCCCCATTCTGCCTTGCTAAGCATAGGATAAAGGGAAACCGAGGCGACGATTATTCCGGTTAAGGAACCGCCCAAGGCAAAAACTTAGTGCTCTGTCTTTACGAATGTACCGCAGTTGAAAACAGTAGTAATATTGTAGGCATACAGTATTATTGATACTACGGACATTCCGAGTGATGGCATTTCATCAAGATATGTAGTGAATGCAGAAAAGAAGGTAATTAAGATTGTTGTTGTGAAAAGCTTAATTTGTGGCATACCTTCTAACGTTTGGAATGAACATGGTCTGAATGATAACGTTGATGTGTAAGATTTGATAATCATCCAAAGATAAAATGCAATCATGCAGCATGAAATGATAACAGCCGTTATCAACTTTGTATCAGCGTGTAATCTTTTCATGATTAAACCACCAATTGATGTGCCGGTATATTGAGCAATTATTGGAAGTATTAAAAATGGGCCAATTGCCATGAATACACTAAGTATATATGTTGATATATCTGGAACCTTACTTGTAGCTCTGTAAATGCAAGCTGTCAAAATTAAATATATTCCGAACGCAAAAAGTATGCAATTAAAGGATAGAAGTATGATAGGCTCGTTTCCTCTTCTGTACGTAACTGGTACTATATGGAATAAGACTGAAAGAATGGATACTGACTTGTATGTGAGAGTGGTCGGATCAAAAACATCATTATTTGCAGCCATCATGGAGCATCCAATGAGCTGGAACAAACGCAATATTGTAACTATACTATATAACAGTGGCATCTTCGGTGCGTATATGTCCATGTAGTTAAAAAGAGATACAAGACTATCAATTAACTTATCTGAAATCGGAACATCGATTAAAGCCGTGATTTTCGAGTTCATAGACCCTGAGAAGTCCTGTGAACTGATTTCAGTGTTAGTTTTAACTTCCTCCATTTGTAGAAGTGATATGATGCCAGTCTATTTAAAATTTTTCTATTTCTTCTGAAAATAGTAAAAATTGAATTGATGATTGTCAAAAATAATATTTATTTATGTGTCATCGTGGAAAATTTAACAGTATTCGTTGTTCTAAACCAAAAATAATAAAGTAACTTTTTACATCCTTCAACATTTGAGAGGAACATAAATCTCGACATCAAATTGATAGGAAATTAGAGAACGTTATGAATTTTATATCTGAGAAATTAAAATTGTATTGGTAATAAGGCTTATAGTAAAATAAAAGAATTAATGGAGGAATAATTCAAAAAACGTACAAATTACGTGTTTTATCATGCTCAATTAACATTCATATATATTATATGCTTAGTATTACATTTTCATTTTCGGTATAAATCTTTTGGTCAGAAAATTTGAGTTATAAAATTTTTTTCTGAGCCATCGTTTAGCGGAATCGAAAATGTATCTAAATATAGCATACATTCAAATTAAAATAATTTGGTGCATTTATTTTTTAACACTATGAACTGACAATTAGCTTTGAAAAATATTTTCGAAGGAATTTTATAAGTGAAAATACTGATATATTGAATAGATATAGATGAGAGCAGATAAGCCTTTTTACGTTGCTTTGAATAACCTGCTATCTGAAAAAATTTACATGAAGCAAAAAGTAAAATATTTTGAAAAGAATTTTTGACATTTGCATTGAAAATTAATTATTGGCAAATTTCTATGGTTACATTGAGATATATAGCAATTTAGTATTTCAATATGGAGCGTAAATTGAGTTTTATGATTAAATTCAAAATTGAATTTATCTGAAAATTTTGTCTTATTGGTATGATATTATATAATATAATATTATGAATATAAATTTTAAATAATTTTTTTGGCATATCCGCTTTTTGAAATGCCTTATATTAATCTTCAAAATAGCATTAATTGCGATTACTATGCTTTGCTAATATAGAATTTATGATAAAATTTATAATGGATATGTTCATGAGTTCAATTTTCGTATTTTTTGAGGAGTTCAGTCATTCACTGTGTACATTATTAATCACTTTTAGCCCAAATGTTTATTTGGATAAATTATCGCATGAAGCAGCTTTCATAATTCATCAAAGATTTCCATTTCATCGCATTCATCATTAAGAACATCTTCGAATTTTAAAATAAATGCCTATTTTAGTTTTCGCATTAACATTCATTTAAATAATGACATGGCAAAAAGAAATACCGAAATTCGAAAATTCTCAAATATCTTTAATAATCATAATCTGAAATTGGTCTTAACACTATTGATAGCGTTTTATATCACTTGAAATCTATAAATATTGAGTAGGTGACAAAAGTGCATACTCTTAAATTAACCTTAAATGTTGAGAGTAGGTGCCAAAAGTGAAATCGTGACACACTTTCGTCTTTCGTAGGCAGTGGTGGTTGTTACAAAAGGTAACTTCGAATGTAGCGTGAAATCTGCAAAAAAAATTCTGAAATTTGAATGGAGAACACAAAAATTGAATAGTTTACGTTAATAAAAAAGAGAAAAATGAAGCCAATGTGTCTCGAACCTAGGACTTAGAGCAGCAATCCCACTGTTTATCCCATTACATATTACACTACATGCATCTCTCACCTCAGTGAATGAGATCAACTATATGATAACTTTTTCCCCATTATATTCTTGTGGAAAAGTGACAAATAGCAACTTTGACCCTCTCTCATAAATATTCGTTGCTTTTGGTTAATATTTCAAAACACTTTTTAATGCTTCGTTTTTTAGAAATAAAAATCAGTATGCATTATCCCAAAATAAATTGCAGTGAAATATTAGGTTAAATGTTTTTCCGCCATTAAAAGTTCTGAAATAAAAATAATTTGTATTTATTTAGTAATGACATAATATGCATTTTTATTTCAACGATGATGAAATTCACTTTTCAAAATTCAATGAAAACTTTTAACATTCACAAAATAAAAATTATGAATAAAATCCGAAATAGTACAACAAATTTTAGGATAACTTTGGTTAATCATTCAAATCTAATTTGTGGGAATACGTTTTTATGACTGATTGAAAATGTATAACATAAAACTATAAATGAAAACATTTTGAAAATATACTTTTTCTGACTATTATCAATAATATTTAATGTCATGAGATTTAATCTCATTTTTTTAAAATCAATTTCCCATTAGATTTTCTTTTACAGGGCTTCATGCTTAGGGAAACACAGTTTATTTCATATATTGGATTTGAATAGTGTCATAAATATAGCCATTAATGACGTTTTGAACCGTTATTATCAATCAATGCTCATAATTTTGATATTTATTTAAAATGCCAAAATGCACTCTAGTCATTTAAGAATAAAAAGTATAAACACATTTGAGTCTCCTCACAATAAATTACTCTCAATTTAAACCTCTCAATATAAGTATTGATATTTAGATTGTCCCAACTGTGCAGTACAGAATAAACCAGTAAACACTTATGGTCGAAAATTCAAATAGTTTCAAAAACCGAAAGCATTGGATTTTATACTTTGTAGATTTAATAGATATGTAGTTCTCAGCAAAATCGAAATTAACTTCCTTATATTTTCAAAGGTTATTCAATTTTTGTTTTATTCAGTAAAACAAGTTTATTTTCACTTCATTTTAAACAATGGAAGAACCAGCAACGAGTACATGCATGTCTGGCAATTTTGACGGCTCCATGCAGTCAACTATTGAAAAACTCATTGATATCCCAGTACATCAGAAGATCATTACCAACTTGGTGGCCTTGTTTAACTATTTTGATATATATGCACCTAAGATGGAGTTGCTTTACAAGATTGTAACAGTTCTAAGATTCTTTCAACTCTTTGGAGGCGCTTTAATGGCTTCAAACACAACAGTTTTCCTACCAGGATCATTAACTTATAATACAATCAGTATAATGTCAGTGTTTTTCCACTTGATACCATGTCAATATAGAAATGGGATAGAGTATCTTGCACTCTTTGCTTTGAACACTATCTTATTCTTATTTGCGATATATCTCCTAATCGCATCTTCTTACTACAAGAAAACTAGCAAAGTTTCTAAGGTAACAACATATGTTTTACCTGTATTCATGGCAACTGGTCCATTCCTCTTCCTTCCAATCTTAGCAGAATTTTGTGGAGAAATTCTTTCAGGTGCAATTTCTGGTAATCATCCTGTTAAAATAACAGAATATATAGCAGTAGCAGAATCTTTAGTTATTACAGTATTCTATTTATGGTTATTGTTTCAAACTTTTACTACAACTTTAATTTTCAGATCTTGTTCATTCAAATCTCTTGAAGGAGGGCCACAAAACAAATTACTTCTAGGCACAATTATTGTCACATTCATTTGCGCTTTAAATATTCATTTGACAAAAGGAACTTCAGTTGCTGTTATCTCAATTTCAGTAATTGTTTACGCCTATTTAATTACCACTGTTTACGGGTGTGGCACTTTTATCAATTTACATCACCAAAGTTTAGTTTTAGGGGGTTGTTTCCTTGCTATTATACTTTGCTTAGCAAACTTATATCCAACATTAACAAGATATACATGGACTGAGATTTTCTTCGTTTGGTTTGGCTCCGCTGCTATTGTTTGCTTTGCAATTGCGCAAATCTTCATCAAAGCAAGGACGAGAAAAGATTTAAGGGTCCTGGATGAAGTTGAAAACTTACAAGATATCTCAATCATAAGATCAAAGAACAAATTCAAGCAAGCTGTGATATCAGGATTTAATATGTGCCATCCAACATGTATGGACTACTCAATCTTCAAGATGGCTATTAATGAATGGCCACAGAGTCTAGATGTATGGATGGTTTATGCAAAATTCTCAGCAATTTACCCAGAATTAACACTTAACCTCGTTTTCATCGATCAAAACATTACAATGCTTAAGTTTCGAAATAGCCTATCCCAATTAGTTACAAAGAGCATTGCGCAAATCATAAATACAAGAGAATCAAAATTTACGCCCGAAATCAAGAGCAAAATCGCCAAACTTACCAAACAATTCTCCAGAACAAAGAACAGACTGCGTAACATCTGGGATTTGCTTTTACAAGGCTCCACGACCGAATTATCAAATTCAATTCAAACAGCACAGAAATACGTCAAAGAATCCGAACAAGAAATCAATCATCTTATGACTCTCTACCCAAACAACAAGTTTGTTGCAAGAACACATGCAAAATTCCTGTTTGAAATCAAAAGTGACTTAATTTCCTACAAAAAGAAAAATGACGAGATCGTAAAGCTCCAACGCGGCATCAGAATCACTCCAGACGTTGTCCACGAGCTCGGCGTCCTCTCTTTCCCTTGTATTCCCGATTGTGCCATCGAAATTCAAGATTCATCCGCGAAAACACAGACACAGATTGAAAATACCGAATCATTCAATTTAGAAGAGAATTCATTGGACGATGACGTGAATCTTGAAGCAATAAATACAATAATCCGCCAAATACAAAACCAAAAAGTGCCAAGCGTCACTTTTATGTATTTTTCCACATTATTTTTATTATTTTTTTCTGTTTTGGCACCATTGATTGCTTATTTAGTTTGGTTCCAGTTTTATTTATATGATCTGAAGCAGCCAATTAATTACATGCATGGAATAAGTTACATGAGAAATCTGGTGAACATGATACCGAGTTTTTCAGGAAAATTATTGTTACAAGAGATGCCGAAAGAAGATGGCACAAATTACTTGAAAGCCGCGAAATTTCTACCTGGATTCACTACGGAATCATTTGGCGGATATAGTAGTACACGTGATATTGTTACTTTTCTTTCCATGAGTGTTGGAACAGCGAGTGAAATCATTTCTCCTTTGAGAAATTACAAATTTGGAAATGAAAATATCGAAAAAGTGAGAAATTCGATTTTTTCATCAAATTTGGATTTCACTTATTACATGAACACTACTAATTATATTAAAACAAAAGTATCCGCTGTACAAATCTCTTTTATGTTAGCAAGTACAGCAGGAAAATTGCTGAATAATGAAAAGATAAATCCTGAAGTTGCGAAATCTCCTGAATCAATAACTTTGAGACATAATAATCAAATTATTACAGAAGCAGCAAACGAAGCAATGAATAATATGATATTGTTTATATAAAATAATTATTATTACAATCAAAAGATATTTAAGATTTCTTTAATTTCGTTTTGTTTTGTTAATATAATTAGTTTTTGTTTGGTTTATTATTTACAAACAAACAAATTGGAGAAAAACAAAACATTTCTTTTTAAAGCAATGTCGGAACTTCCTAAAACAGTTATTTCGACAATCTCCCAATCCTTCAACAAAATAAAAGGAGATGGAACAACATTTACTGATACTTCAAAGGATATCGAACTCACAAGACAAGAAGAATCAATTATTAAATTGTTTTCGAGTATTTCTGATGGTGTCAGTTCAAATGTAATGACTTTTATCTTGTTTATGTTTATTTTCATTGTTTGTTTGTCTATTTTGACATTTTACATTTCATATAATTCATTTTTGAAGGCAAGTGAAACAGTGTTTTACAATTGCCATCATATCAATTATCTCTATGGATCAGCAACATTTTTGTTTTCCATTCTTTCGAGAATCTGGAAAATTGTTTTAGAAAAAGCTGATCCAAAATTTGAAAATTCTTGTGTTGATGTTTATGATGAAAGGGAAAACATCAAAAAGATTATTCCTCAAATGGTTGATTACTTCCATTTCGTAAGGTTTGGAGGAAGAGATGCAAAAGAAGTTCCCTTCGAAGAAATGGACAATTCCGTGAAAATCGCAAACAAAATAGTTTATTGCGAAGATTTCGTGAATCCACCGAAAACAATTCCTGAATCCGCCCATTGTTTCACGATCCCAATGCAGTTCTTTTTGTCTGTATCGATGATAAGGAAACTGAATGCAAACATGTTTGAAGATCCACCAATTTGGCCAAGACCTCAAGGAGATGGAGTCAATGATTTGTGGCAAATTGGTCCCGTTGAAGTTTACGAGAGTTTATTCTATAAAGCAGGGAAAAAACTTGTTCCTTCTATGGAGAAAAACATTGATAAGGAGAAATATAATATTTTACTTAATACTTTGATTTTCGGATCATTTATATTTTTGTTAGTTATTGGTGTTTTGTTTTCTATACATTACGAATTGAATGTTTTCAAATTCACTTTATACCAATTGTTGAGAATTCCAACACCTGTTTTAGTTGGAAACCAAAAGGTCATGAATCTTTTGGCAGGAGAATATTCGGATGAAGATTCCAACAACACGGAAAAACATGTTTGGTTTAGTAATGAAGTTGTCAACAAATTAAATGATGTTGTAATTGTTTGCCAAGATGAAACAGGAATAATTTTGTCGGTGAATAACTCTTTCGAAGAAATGTTTGGAAAGCAAATGGAAGGTAAAAATATTAGAGAATTCTTCACTGATCAGAGATTTAAATGTGATACAAAAATAGAAAAAGTTTTCTCTCAGAATTGTAATTTAGTTTACACAAAACAAGATGGAACTGTTGTTTATTTCGAGTTCTCTTCAACTTCTGTAAGTGGAAACAGGATTTATTCAGGAAGAGATCAGACACAAAATGTTTTGCATGAGAAATTGATTGAAGAAGAGAAGAAGAAGTCAGATGCAATGCTTGCATCTATCCTTCCAGCGATGCTTGTTCCACGTGTTCAAGCAGGTGAGAAGAACATCTCATTCAGTGTTCAGTCAGCTACAGTCCTCTTCTTAGATGTTGTTGAGTTCACACCATGGTGTGGTAGCCATGATGCACAGTATGTCATGCGTATGCTTAACATCATGTTCAAAGAGTTCGATGCTATCACAAATGCACACAAGACAATGACAAAGATCAAGTGCATTGGTGACTGCTACATGGCAGCAGGTGGCATCTTCGACGAAGTTAACCAACCTGCAGTCCATGCTAAAGAAGTTGTTGACTTCGGTTGCTTAGTCATCAAGAAACTTCTTGACATTGACGAGAAAGAGAACGAGAAACTTCGTATCCGTGTTGGCATCAACACCGGTGGTCCTATTGTTGCCGGTGTTATTGGTACAGAGAAACCAACATTCGAAATTCTTGGTCCAGCAATCAACATCGCACACGAGATGGAGAACAAAGGTGTTCCAATGAAAGTCCACATTTCACGTCCAGTCTATGAACTTATCTATGGTCAACAGTTCGACATCAAAGAACGCGGTGAAATTGATGTTAAAGGCGGCAAGATGTTCACATATCTTGTCGAACCATAACTTTAATTTTATATTTTTTGTTTGTTTTAAAATATTAAAATTTTTTATTCTTTGATTTTGAAAACAATTAAGTTTTTTGTTATTTCTTAGTAAATTTTTTATTTGCATTCCATATTCAGATTTTTATTCAAATGAAGAAAAATTGGAAGGAGAAAGTGGTTAAATTATGTTAATATATCATGAATTTACCTCATTTATTTTCATAGGTTTCTAAATAAATTACCAAATTTGTGCAATTAACTCAGTCGGCTTAAAACAACAGTAACTCGTTCAAGTTTAACGAAAAAAACTATGTTCTCGGCATAAATAAGATTTGTATTTCAGAGTTTCTTTTTAGATGTTGATTTCAGATCGAAAACAAACGATAAGCATTCATGGTATTAGATTTTACATATATAGGGATATGTAGTCCTATTGAAATACATCTGGCACCTGGAATGTATTTATTCGAAGCATTGGGTACATCTGGAGGAGCAAATAATGAAACATATATTGGAAAAGGCAGATATACTTCCGACTTAATAAAACTTACAAAGAAAACTCGATTTTATGCGATAATTGGGAGTCGAGGCCAAAATCCCGTTAAAGCTATGACAAAGCCTTCAGGTGGCTGCGGTGGTGGTGGAAAAGGAGGACTACCATATTCTGCTGAGTATTGGGCAGGTTCTGGCGGCGGTGGAGCTACGATATTATATTATGAAACCCAAAAGCTAGCCTCTCGCATCATGGTAAGTGGTGGTGGAGGTGGTGGCTTGTATAGTGGATGCGCTTCCCATCCTGGCTATGCTGGTGGCCTTATTGCAGGAAATGGCGGGTCTTTTCAATCTAATTTAGTTTCTAAAGGTGGTTCTCAGAATTTTGGTACTGAAAATGGAGTGGGCCAAGATGGCAGAAATTCAATCGGAAAATCTTGTGGCGCAGAAGGGAACCCAGGATGTGGTGGCGGCTATAGAGGCGGTACCACTACAACAGTAACAGGAGAAGACAGTGACGTCTCTGGAAGCGGCGGTAGTTCTTATGTATCAGGTCATCCAGGATGCTTATTGAATTCTCTGGCTTCTTTTTTTGATGCAAACTGTGGACGTAAGTACGTTTCTGGAGATCCAGGCTGCCAAACAAATCTCTTAGCATCATTTTATGACACGAAAATATTAAGCGGAAATAAATATTTTGATCTTCCAAACGGAACTAATTCCTTAGGAAATCCAAGTCATGGCCATCTACAAATTACTAAATCCAAAGCCTTCATGTCATAACATATGCTATTTAACATAAAGTAATTTGACAGTGAATAGCCAAATCGATTTATACTGAAATTTATGACTCAAATTGGTGCACAAATAATAATCTATACTACGATTATTTTTGATTCAAATGCTGTTCGGCATTAGAAGCAAAAATAATCATAATCAAGATAATTCCAATTTTATATACTTTTTGGGCGCTTAAGCGCCCGTAAAAAAGTATACAAAATTGTTAATTTTTTTAGATATTTTTGAGCACCTTTAAATCAGATTATTTATTGTGTTTAAAAATAATTATTAAAAATAATTAAAATAAACCGAGTTTAGTACCTTCACTAAGTGCGAAGACATAGAAGGATGTGAAATATCTGTAGTGATTAGACTTCTTGCATGTGATGATGCTGCATGATTTGATAGAGTCACGATTAAGATGACATTCTCGATAAAGATGTTCAAGAAATGATTCTGTTGTGTTCTCTATGTCAATGCCACATGTGAGATGGATGCAGTTAGAGAATGCATGTGTCTGGATAGTTTGGACACAAATAGGGATGTTGATGTGAGTGAGAGATGTACAATCTGCAAATGCATAGCGGTAGATGGTTTCAACTGAGTTATCTGGGATGAGGATGTTGACAAGGTTCTTGCATCCGAGGAATGCACCTGCTGGGATATTTCTGATTGAAGATGGGATATAGAAGAACTTGTATGGTGATGCGGGAGGGAAGCAGACAAGTACTGTCTTATTCTTATCGAAAAGAGCATTGCTGTCGACTGTGAAGTACATGCTGTCGTTGCAAACAAATTGACGAAGTGATGTACATCCTTCGAAAACAAAGTAACCAAGTGATTTGAATGAACTGTTTTCACCAATAATGAATGTATCAAGATTCTTACAGTTTTTGAATGCATAGTCTGAGATTGACTTTGTATCATGTGGAACTGTGAATGTTGATATATTTGTAGACTCAAATGCATTAGTTCCTATTTCTTCGATGGATTGAGGTAATGTGATGTATCGAAGTTTAGATGCTCCATTAAATGTGTTCGCTCCAATTTGCTTAATTGGTGGATTTCCTAAAAATGTTATGTTTTCAATCCCTGAACTAGCAAATGCACGAGCACCTATATTTTGAATAGTATCGGGAATCTCAATTGTTTGTAATGATTTACATGATACAAAGCAAACATTTCCAATATGTGTAACATGAGTCATTTTTACTGTTTTCAATTTTCCACAGCTATTGAAATTATTACTACCAAGTATAACATCATATGATCCTTCAAATGTGATTGTTTCTAGCTGATTACATCTCATAAATACATATCCTTTTAATACAGCAACACTTCTAAAGTGAACTTCAACGAAACCTGAACAATCCATAAACGAATTAAATGAAAGTGAAGTAATATTATCAGGGAAATACAATGCTTTTAAAGATGTACACATAAAAAAAGCATAATCACCAATGGTTTTAAGTGAAGCAGGAAAAATTATGTTAATAAGATTATTACAATTTTGAAATGCAGAATTTCCAATTTTTGTCAAATTGGAATTTGATGTGAAATTGATTGTTTTCAAAAAATTTGTTAAATTCCCAAAACTTCTGCTGATATCTCTTCAACTGAATCTGGAATGTTATAGCTCTCCAGTTCACTCAGTCTTTGAAATATAATTGTTTTATGTTGATTGTATAAAAGCCCCTGTGAATCAATAGAAAGTAGAGAATCTTCTGGGAAAACAAGTTCAACATTGATTGGGAAACATGAACCTGAAATCTTTGAAAGACTTTTCGGAAGTTCAACGCGTTTCAGGTTGTAGCATTGTGAAAATGCTGAAGCTTCGATTGTTGTTATGTTTCCTTTGAAAATTATATTTGTAATATTAGAATTTTGAAAGCAACTTTGAGGAATAACAGTAATTCTGGCACCAACAATAACAATCTCAAGATATTTGCATCCAGAAAATGCATTTGCGCCAAGACTTGTCACCGAATCTGGAATTGAAACATTGATTAAATGGGTTGATGAAAAAGAATTCAATGAAATTGTTCGTATTTTTGAGTTAAAAGTTATATTTTCAAGTGATGATCCAGAAAATGCATAACTTGAAACCGACTCAACTGAATCTGGGAAAATAAATGAAGAATGGTTGTTTTTTAAGTAGAGAAGAATTACTGTTTTAGCTTTATTGTAGAATACACCATCTTCCGATGTATAATGTTGATTATTTGGATCACAAATTATCTCTTTTAGTGTCGTGGAGAATGGAAGAGCCGTAATAGGTATATATAATAAATCCTTTGGAATGTAAATCTGTTCTAAAGATGTTTCTTCAAAAGATTGATCATTGATTCTAGTTAACTTTGAATTCGAGCCTATAATAATTGAACAAAGTTCCTTACAATACCTAAATGAATCATGGTCTATAACCTCTATTGCGTTTGGGAAGGATACTGTTGAAAAATTGCAACGTGAAAATGACCAAGATGAAATTACAGTCAGATTTTGAGGAAGAACAAGATGAGATAGACTGAAACAGGACATAAATGCATATGGCTTGATTGTCTGCAGAAGTTCACAGTTTGTGAAGTCAATTGAAGAAAGTTTTGAACAACCACTGAATGCACAGTCACCAATGGTTTTGAGCATCGATCCTTGTGGGAAATGTATGGATAAAAGAGTATTAATGCTTCCTTTGAAAGAATCGCCATAAATTTCTTCACATGTTAGTTTGAGAACAACGTCAACACTACGATCGATCGCAAACAGGACACGATCGTTATCAATATAAGTTTCACCAACAACTATTGGCTAGGTTTAAATGAAATCGAAATTAACACATTTTTTTTGATGTTCTTTTAAATTAAAATTTCATTGTAACTTACCTCACACCACCAAATGTCAGTCAATTATTTTTGGATCTGTAAAATTAATTCAATTTTTTTTCAGATGCTTTGAAATTTTCTGCCATTTTGGCCAACTCCACTTTCAGTACCTGAAATCTGAATATATTAGCAGGAAACAAATATTTTGATTTATCCAATCCAGAATGCCAAACAAATCCCTTATCATCCTTTCATGATACAATCCTATGAAAATCAAAGTCATGGCTATCTGTGAATTACTAAATTAACTCCAATTCCTACCTAACACCTCATGTGCTATTTTATCAAACAATCATTTTTCTTTATCTTCATTTTTATTATTAAAATTTAATTAATTTTGAATCAAATCATCAATAAAGTATTATTAAAAAATGATATGAAATAGAAATATTGCAGATCATATCTCGAATTGATGATATTTTTGTGCACATAAATTAATGCTTTATTTAATAAACAATTAAAATAAGCCGAGTTTAGTACCTTCACTAAGTGCGAAGACATAGAAGGATGTGAAATATCTGTAGTGATTAGACTTCTTGCATGTGATGATGCTGCATGATTTGATAGAGTCACGATTAAGATGACATTCTCGATAAAGATGTTCAAGAAATGATTCTGTTGTGTTCTCTATGTCAATGCCACATGTGAGATGGATGCAGTTAGAGAATGCATGTGTCTGGATAGTTTGGACACAAATAGGGATGTTGATGTGAGTGAGAGATGTACAATCTGCAAATGCATAGCGGTAGATGGTTTCAACTGAGTTATCTGGGATGAGGATGTTGACAAGGTTCTTGCATCCGAGGAATGCACCTGCTGGGATATTTCTGATTGAAGATGGGATATAGAAGAACTTGTATGGTGATGCGGGAGGGAAGCAGACAAGTACTGTCTTATTCTTATCGAAAAGAGCATTGCTGTCGACTGTGAAGTACATGCTGTCGTTGCAAACAAATTGACGAAGTGATGTACATCCTTCGAAAACAAAGTAACCAAGTGATTTGAATGAACTGTTTTCACCAATAATGAATGTATCAAGATTCTTACAGTTTTTGAATGCATAGTCTGAGATTGACTTTGTATCATGTGGAACTGTGAATGTTGATATATTTGTAGACTCAAATGCATTAGTTCCTATTTCTTCGATGGATTGAGGTAATGTGATGTATCGAAGTTTAGATGCTCCATTAAATGTGTTCGCTCCAATTTGCTTAATTGGTGGATTTCCTAAAAATGTTATGTTTTCAACTCCTGAACTAAAAAATGCACGAACACCAATATTTTGAATTGTATCGGGAATCTCAATTGTTTGTAATGATGGACATGAAGAAAAACAACCATCTCCAATATATGTAACATTAGTCATTTTTACTGTTTTCACTTTTCCACATTCATAGAAATTTTGAGCACCAAGTATAACACCACATGATCCTTCAATTGTGATTGATTCTAATCGTCCACATCTCATAAATACATATCCTTGTAATATAGCAACACTTCTAAAGTGAACTTCAACTAAACCTGAACAATCTCTAAACGCGTAATAATTAAGGAAAGTTAAACTATCTGGAAAATTTATTGTTTTTAACGATGTCCACAGAAAAAAAGCATAACCTTCAATGGTTTTAAGTGAAGCAGGAAAACTTATGTTAATAAGATTGTAACATCTGGCAAAAGCAGAATTTCCAATTTTTGTCAAATTGGAATTTGAAGTGAAATTGATTGTTTTCAAATTTGATAAATCTCCAAAGGCTCCTGCTGATATCTCTTCAACTGAATCTGGAATGCTGTAGCTCTCCAGTTCACTCAGTCTTTGAAATATAATTGTTTTATGTTGATTGTATAAAAGCCCCTGTGAATCAATAGAAAGTAGAGAATCTTCTGGGAAAACAAGTTCAACATTGGTTGGGAAACATGAACCTGAAATCTTTGAAAGACTTTTTGGAAGTTCAACACGTTTCAAATTGTAGCATTCAGAAAATGCCGATGTTTCGATTGTTGTTATGTTTCCTTTGAAAATTATATTTGTAATATTAGAATTTTGAAAGCAACTTTGAGGAATAACAGTAATTCTGGCACCAACAATAACAATCTCAAGATATTTGCATCCAGAAAATGCATTTGCGCCAAGACTTGTCACTGAATCTGGAATTGAAATATTGATTAGATGTGTATATTCAAATGAAAACGACGAGATTGTTCGTAATTTTGAGTTGAAAGATATATTTTCAATTGGTGATCCAGAAAATGCATAACCTGAAACCGACTCAACTGAATCTGGGAAAATTAATGAAGAACGGTTGTTTTTTAAGTAGAGAAGAATTACTGTTTTGGCTTTATTGTAAAATACACCATCTTCCGATGTATAATGTTGATTATTTGGATCACAAATTATCTCTTTTAGTGTCGTGGAGAATGGAAGAGCCGTAATAGGTATATATAATAAATCCTTTGGAATGTAAATCTGTTCTATGGATGTTTCTTCAAAAGATTGATCATTGATTCTAGTTAACTTTGAATCCGGGCTTATAATAATTGAACGGAGTTCCTTAGAATATCTAAATGAATTGTAGTCTATAACCTTTATTGAGTTTGGGATGGATATTGTGGAAAATTTGCATCGCGAAAATAACCAAGATGAAATTACAGTCAGATTTTGAGGAAGAACGACTTGAGATAGACTAGAACAGTCTCTAAATGCAGATGACTTGATTGTTTGTAGAAGTTCACAGTTTGTGAAGTCAATTGAAGAAAGTTTTGAACAACCACTGAATGCTGAGTCACCGATGGTTTTGAGCATCGAACCTTGTGGGAAATGTATGGATAAAAGAGTATTCGTGCTTCCTTTGAAAGCATAATTTCCTTTAGAAGAGTCACCATAGATTTCTTCACATATTGGTTTGAGAACAACATCAACACTACGATCGGTCGCAAACAGGACACGATCGTTATCAATATAAGTTTCACCAACAACTATTCCCTAGTTTTATTTGAAATCAAAATTAATACAAATTTTTGAGGTTCTTTGAAAATAAAATTTTATTTTAATTTATCTTACTTCATCAAATATCACTCAGTAAATTTTGGATCTGTAAAATACATTCAATTTTCAGATGCTGTGTAGGGTAAATTAATTTCATACAATTCTTCCCTACAGTAGTATAGTATGCGGGTTTTGTGCACAAATTTGTAATCCTTTAAAAACAAAAACGTGCACATTAATTTTTAGTCCGTTTCTTCACAAAAATCGACGATTTCAGCCCGTTTCTCAGCAAGGTATCATGAATTTTCTAAAGTAAAATGCATACCCCGTTATGAAGAAACCAAAGCAACATTCATGAAATTCATCAATTTTTTGAGCAAAACTCACAAATTACTTTACAAAAATAAATAAAAATAATTGATTTTTATTATCTTTCTAATTTTTTAAGCATTATCTGCTGGTGAAGCGTATTTAGCTGGGGTTCCTGTAGCATGGTATTTCAAACCATCTTCAGGACTCCAAGTCCAGTAAGTAGTTCTTGTGAACCATATCTGAGGTGGATCTGGACTCTTTGTGCAGTATACATCTGCTTCAGCATTTGAATGAATTGGGTTAGCTTGTAATCTAATGCTAACTTGGTTATTCTTTGTTTCTAAACCATCAAAGAAGACACTTCCACCATCTCTCATAACAGGTATAGTACAAATGAATGATGTTTGATCTTTCCATGGATAAATCTGTTTCTTAGCAGTACACCTGTCTCTTGTTAAACTATCTTCATATTCTTCAGTACATTCATTAACACCATCAAGGTCAGAAGCTTGTAACATTCTTGTGAAGAATATATCTCCAACAGTACTCATAGCATTGTCAGGGAAGTTTCTTCCATCGATTGTGATTTGCAAGTTTCTAACCATAGGATTCCTAAATACTGTTCTCTGAGCTTGTCGCATTGGGAATACAGCAACAATATCTGTTACATTATGCAATGCATATGTGAAATCAGAAACAATTCCAGAACTTGTAACACAACCTTGATTCAATGTTCTGACATCAATTTGCTGTGCTGGAATCATAAATGGATCTCGACGGTTGAAAAGTGTTGGAATATCTCTTGCTGTTGATTCAATCACACCATATCCGGGAACTATAAATTTGTCTTCTGTAATTCTCATCTCAACGACTTGGATTGTAACAGGATTGGTTGTGGGTGTAATCTCAGTTGGGCTTTTTTTCGTGATTGCAGTAATTAGATTTGTTGGCTGACCGATTTGTTCAAATTCACGTGTATAGTTAAATTTGGTACTCATTGCTAATGCATAATCTTTATCATGCAATTCTTCATAACAAACATTAAGAATATCACTAACTCTTGCAGGATCAACTTGACAATAAACCAATGAATGAGGTGTGTTATAATATTTCAATATAATATCACCAAAACTCTTTGGATAATCATCAAATGCTTGGAATGCTAACAAATCATTTAATGGAATAATCATATCAAATTCTATTGTACGCGTGTGTGTGTTTTTATCCCAACCCCCATCATTTGGGTTAAAGTAGCATCCACATACCGAATTATCCATTTTCTGAACATTATTATACAATGAATGAACAAATTTCTTTGTCTTTCTTTCTGACTTTGGTTTATATGTAGCATATGCAAATCCTTCTTTAACCATTTCCATTTGTAAATATCCTGTATCACCTCTATCTGTCTCAACTTCTAACTGTCTAAAAATTTTATTACTGGACTTATATCCGATAAATATTCTGTTTAGATTCATTACTTTTGTTACCGCATATGGTTTGACATGATCTTTCAGAGTATTTGTACCTGTGTCGTCAGCACTTGCAATCTCTGGAAGTTCTTGTGCAGGAAATTCAACAGATGTTGCAGTAGGACTAGTGTATTGAATTTTTATTGCCACATGACGTTTGAAATAAGCTTCACCTAAACAATTAATATCATGTTCAGATTTTGTTAATCTCATATGTGTTTGTTTTTCATGATCATATGGAGCATCACTATCATAGCAAGTATTTTCTAACTCACGATAATAACGACGTCCATCATTTGCAGAAAAGATCTCATTCATTTTCTTGAAAGATTCGAAAACATTTCCATCAACTGGATGGTATCCATCATTTCTCAAATAAGCGCCTGACATATTTTTATAATGATTAAAAAAAATTAACTTTTTATTTAAATTAAATATAAAAGTTATGGCAGCAGGAATCTTCAAAAAAATTTGGGAGGGAATGAAAAAAGTAGGTACTACAATTAAAAATTTCTTTTCAAAACCAATTGTAAAAACATACAATCCAAATGACTTATGTGGACTTGGACCACCTAAATCAATGTCTGGTTATTTACAAAGTCAGACAGTAAGAGATTTAATACCAAAAATTGAACAAAAACAATCATATCAAAATGTATATAGAATTGATCCAATATTAAAGAAATAAAAATTTTAAAATGAAATAAATGGCAGCTGGATTCTTTATTAAGAAATTCTTTCCAAAATGGCATAATAGTATCAAAGGAAATTGGACAAAACCAAAAATAGTAAAAGTTGGTACACCAATCTTTGTCAAACCTATTGAACCAAAGAAATAAAAAAATTTAAAATTCAATCAAAAATGGATTCAATGTCGCAAAGGTGGAATACCAAAGTGGGTTGAAAAAGCAGAACTAGTGAAAAATAAATTTATTCCAGGAGTCAAGTCAATCTCTACTCAACCAAAGAAATAAAAAATTTTAAAATGAAATAAATATGGCAGCTGGATTAATTAAAAAACTTCGTGAGAAATTAGCAAATTGGAAACCTTGTGGTTTTGGAGCAAATAGTCAAAAATGGAAAAATACAAAACGTTTTATACCTGAATTTCCACTAACTGTTTCACCAGCACAAAAATAATTTCTCAAATATTTTTATCAAATATTTTTATCACCGCCTCTTACCACCAATCAGACCCTTAGCAATTTCACCAGCGGTGCCACCTATTTGAGCACCTTGTCCTCCACCAAATTTAGCACCTATTGCAGTACCGATTGCTGGTAAGAAATCTTTTACATCAGTTGCAACTGGTTTGATAACTGTATTCCAAGCCCATGTTGCACCTTTCTTGATTCCATTCCAGATTTTCTTAAAGAAACCCGCAGCCATATTTAATTTAATTAGATTAAAAAAATTTAATTTTAAACATTAAATTGTGAATTTATTACTTCAATAATCATATTAACTCTTTCTTCAATTGTTTGTATTCGTTGAATTATTTCTTCAATTTTCATAGTATTTGTCACTCTTGATTCTGGAATAGATTTCAAACTAACTTGACCTTTAATTTTAGTTATTCGGAATCCATCTATTTTAAACATTTTATTTAATTTACATGTTGTTAATTCATCAAATAAATCTTTGTTTTGTTCATAAAACTCATTAAATTCATCAATACTTTAAAAATTAGTACATTCTTTAATTGGTTTTATGATTTGTAATTTCTTTTCAGGTTTTTTAATTTCAACTTTTTCTTCTTCATCTTCATTTGTTTCTTTTGGAACCTGTTCAATCTTTTTCAAAATTGGTTTCATATTTTTAAAAATAAATAAAAAATTAAATTTTTTTGACAAAATAGAGAGGAACTTCAACTTCAACATCACCTTCTAAAATTTCATCTTCTCCATCATTTATTTCATCATCTTTTCGAAAAGTAACGAGAACAATTGCATTACCATCTTGATATCTTTGAAACAAACCTAAATGATCAAAATTCCTTCTTCTCTTCTTAAATAGTTGTTTTGTCTTTGATGTATCTAAATAAACTAAAACTTCATCACCAGGTTGAAATCCATAATAACCATTCTCATATAATCTTTGTTTAACTTCATTTAGCTTTTCTGTTTTTCTTCTAATAAATTCCCATTCTTTATCTCTATGAGTATGCATTTCTAAATGTGTCATATTTATTGATTTATGCCATGTATTATTGTAATAATAACATAATTGTTGAATTAAATTATCATGTTTACCATCCCAGTAAATTTGTCTCTCTGGACCTAAAGCATTTCTTAAAGTTCTCATCACACTATCAACAACTTTATTATGATAAGTAAATTTTGATGATGAAGCATGAAAACCAACTCCATATAAAGGATGATATTGAATTTCTTTATGAACAAGAATTTGTTTCATTCCTTCATTCTTTTTACGACGACCTCTTCTTTTTGTTGGTGGTTTATAATTTTCATCAGGAACAAGTTCATAATCCATTTGATTTTCATATTTTGATTTTTCAATCATTATCATTTGCATTGCACTTTCAAAACCAGCATCACCATCACATTTAATCATTTTAACTTTATGACCAAAATGTTCATATTCAAGTTCTGTAATTTTTTTTATTACATCAAATGTTTCAAATGCTTCTTTTGTTTGAACTGGAAACAAATATAAATATTTAGTATTAACATTTATGAAAACTAAATACGATGCAACCATTAATGTTTTACCATGATTTTTAACAGGTCTACCATGCAAATGATCCATTTCCCAAGTATCTGGTGTGAATGCAAATGTTGGTCTTTGAAATTTCTTTTTCAATGGTGTTAATTTTGAATCATGAATAATTGTTTCAATTCCATGTTGAGCTCCTTTATAAGACTTGATTTTGTATGCAGTTTGAAATGGATATTTTAAAATTTCATCATTTTCAGAAAGTCTAATTCATATGGGTACCCCCTAGTTTCTTTTTGAAAAATTTCACTTTTATCATTTTTTAACATTAATTTAAATAAGATTAAAAAATTATGGCACAACAAGAAGATAAGAGATGGGTAAAAGCTTTTCAAGCTATAAAAAGAGAAGGCGGAGATGAATTGTATAAAATTTATGTAAAACATCTGACAGCTGGATTCAAAAAAAGCGAGTTTGTTGTTAAATTAAAAGAGGAGAATGAAAGAATCTTAGATCAATTAGGAAAAGCAAATAAAGAAATAGTAAATTTAAGAGAAAAATTGAAAAAATATGAATCATGTGGAAATCCAGCACCAAGTAAAAACACAACTGGTGGATATGGACGACAACAATCAAAACCATCCGCTAATCCTAATGTTAAAGCAGAAATGGATAAATTATCTAAACTTAATGATGAGAGTTCTAAGAAAGTTAAAGAATTACAAGCAGAAGTTGATAAATATAAGAATGCATTATTAGGTAAAGGTAATGAAAGTGAAGTTTTAGTAACAAACTTGAAGAAAGTTGAAGCTGAAAAGAATACATTACAATCTCAACTTACAAAACTGTCAGAGGAAAATACAGAATTAAATCATAAAATTAATGAAATGTCCATGAAGTTGAAATCACTTGATAAAGCAAACGAAGCAAATACAAATACTTCACAAGAATATATTAACAAGATTGAATTAGAAATTTATAACACGAGGGATATAATAATTGAAACAATTACAAAAGTTTTAACAGTAGTTGGTGCATCACAAGAAGATTTTGACAGAACTCACAGCAACTTTGAACAAGTCAAAAATGAAAGAATGAATCTGACAACGTTTGCAGGTTATGCTAAAGAAGAAATTGTGAATCAAATTGGAGGTTTCAAAAACAATACAAGAGACCTTTTTGAAAATGTTAATATGCAACTTGTTGATATTTTACTTACATTCACGAATTTTGCAGGTTACAATGAACTTTCAGCTGAGATTGATGATACTAAGAAAGATATTGAAAGTTCTGAATTTACGGGTAACACAGATCCAATTCAAGGAATCCAAGTCCTTCTTGATACAAATACAAAGATATTGCAAAAAGTTATGAATGATTATAATGATTTAAGACAATCTGCAAATCAAATTATAGATTATTATGCACAAGTTGGACCTGGTATAACTGACAAATTAAATCAAAATGATGGTTTTGAAAAAATTAATTCAACAGTTGCAACAATTTTCGATAGATTAACACAATGGATACAACAAAAACTGGAGAAGTAAATGAATTACAACAAAATGTTCAACAAAGTGCGAATATTGATGTTGATGCATATCAATCTAAAATTGATGAACTCACTAATCATTTAACTGAAATACAACAGAAATTAGTAGAATATTTACAAAATGAATTAAATAATATTGATGTCAATGAAGCATCAAGAAAGAAATCAGATTTTGAACAATTAATTTCAAATGATGAACCGATCTTAAATCTAGTTGATTTCATTCTAAATATGTTTACAAATGATTTAGCAGTAGCAAGAAACAAATTAGGTTCAATCGATCAAGAGAAACGTTATGTTCAAGGTGAATTCCTTGGTATTACTTTCAATGAAATTGCATTAAACAACTATGCAAAATCATTACAGCGTTCTTATGCTATTTTACTTGCAAACCAAAAAGTTCCAGAAACCGAGTATCATTATTATTCAATTCCTTCGCAGAAAATGATGAAAGTATTAATGGATAATTATACAGAAGATCAATTTGAAATGAATGTTCAATTCACAAATGGTGGAATGTATTTTATTCAGTTACGTTATGGAGAAACAATCTATCCATTTTATATCGATGATGATTGGTTACATATATTTACATTCTTTATTCAACAAGTTATTTCAGCAGATTTCCTTCTTGGAACAGATGTAGCATTGAGTTCTCTTGATCAAATTGAGAATTTACCTGATGACAATGAAATCAAAATAAAATGGAATCAGATAACAGAGAATTTGGAATGGAATAAAGTTGATGAAGATGGAAACATTATTGAACAAAACGAAGGTGAACTTCATTATGGAACATTTGGTGGTGACAATCAAGAAAATCAAGAACAATATGTAGAACAACCACAAATTAACTTACACGAAGATGAACGTAGAAACCTTGTTGATGATTATGGAAACATAGTTTATCCTGTCGAAGAAAGACAATTTACAGATGACAATGGAAATGTAGTTGATTATCGTGGTAATCTTATCGCACCAGCATACGACGAGGACCAAGTTGATGAATCTGGAAATCCTATTTACTAATAAATGGCATACAACAACCATTCTCACAACAGACTGCTTTAGTGTGAGCACCAGTTAATGCAGTTTTTGCAATTGACAATCTTGACATCATTCCATTCTTTAATTGCAATGTTATATTTTTGCCATCAAATGAAACTCCATCTTTTAATATTTGGTAAAAGTTCTCTGGAGTTAAATGTTCATTCTGTTTCAATGATACTCCTTTCATTTTCATTGCAATCTTCTTGAAATCAGATTCTTTCAAATGACCGTTGAATGAAGTATAACATTTTGGACATAAAGCAATCATATTATCTCCTTGTTTCTCAATTGCGAAACCTAATAACTTCTTCTCATGCTGTTTTTCTTCCATTTTATTTTTGAGTTTTGGTTTATATTTTTGATCAAAACAGAAGAAATCATATGGAGCAAATTTGTAAATGTTCTTATCATAAAAGTTTTTGTCAATAATGATTGCTTGAAAGGCTTGAGTGTTTGGTAAATTAGGATCACCAGCAATTGCCCAATAACTTGAATCAGTATCTCCTTCAATGAAATGAAACTTATTTGTATCCATGCATTTATACATGAAGTCATAAATGAAAACTAAATACCAATATTTAGCATTATCTAATGTAAAGAATGCTTCTTGCAAACATGTATCACAACGATAATATTTATCTTTCATCATAACTTGATAAACATTATCACCAATCTCTCTGATATTCTTAAACTTTTGACTCATGCATGCCATTCTTGCTTTGTCTTCTTCCATAATCTTTGATTTTGTGTAATTTTGAGTATTCATTGCATCATAACCATAAGAACCATTCAAAGAGATCTTGCAAAACAAACTTTTACCTTTGTTTCCATTCAACTCTGCTTCTTGTCTGACTCTCATAAATTCATTTGCAAAATCATGGAAGCAAGTGTTCTTAGCAAATGTCAAAATAGATTTAACATCATCAATTATGAAATGAAATCTGTCAATGAGGTACCATAAGTAATAACTTGAAAATGACATATATTCACCATGAGTAGATGCTAATTGAGTTAATTTTCTTTGTTTCTGATCAACTGGAATATTATTTGTTTTCATGTAATTGTACATGAATGAACCAATTGTTTCTTCATTTGTTACAATGTCTAAGTTTCTAATAATTGGTAAGAAATTAATGTATTTCTCATCAATGTGTCCTTTAACTTCTGTAACAAACAATTCTTGTTTCTTCTTAATTATTCCTAATGCTATTGCTTTCTGAGCAGTTGATTCACAAATTAAAACATTAGTTAATCTTCCTGGCATATACATTCGATGGTCAGTGTATTTGATAAATGGATGAGGATTAGATGAGAAACATGATGGATATAAAGAATTGAAATCAACACCAACAAAATGAGTCATAACATTATCTGTGTCATGATTTGAAACTTTACCATTGTCATAAGTTAATTTGTTAATGTGTGTAACATTCTTCATATTAATACGATGTTGAACATTAGATAAACCACCTGTGATACCATTTCTTAAGATGTGATATGCTTCAACTGAATCTAATGTCATTGGCAAATTGTATTTGATTGCAATGTTTCTCAAATTAACTCTTAATCTTACTATTTCTTCATCTTTGTTTGATTTAACGACATTGCAATAGCAACACATTAATTGACAATTCTCTTTTGTATGACCTAAATCATTATCAATTCTATCTAATGTTGGTTTGTTGTCATATGTGAATGCTTTACCACATAATGCACATTTTGATTTCAAAATCAAATCTATGTAATAATCTAAATCATCAATTGTAACATTATTACTTATATCTCTTTTTGCTTTCAAGTCTTGTTTGTTATAACAGTCAACTTTGTATTGCCAATACTTCTTTGACAAAATGAAATTAGAATCTTTTTCTTCTTCAGGATATTTCTCACTTGGATTGAAATCTTTGTAAGCCAAACTATATCTTATCATTGATGCATTTGAACTTAAACTTAAGTTATGTAGCATATCAACTTTATAAACAAATGTTTCATCAATGATTTTATTAATCGGTTTGATCATGATTTCAACATCTTTGTTACAATAATAGATGAAATAGTCTAAACGATTTTTGAATTGTTTATAATCGTTCAAGTAAATTTGATAATCGTCATCTGCAATTGTTTGTTGAGTTAAACTTGAGAAGAACATTTCTTTCGTGAATGGTTCAGTTTTGAATAATTCTTCTTTCCAGTTGTCCCATGTGATTGCTTGATAAGGAAAGAACGATTTAACTCTTTTGACATTATCACCAAAATCTTGAGTAAATTGATCTAATGTACCACCTGCAACAAAGTTTCTGATATCAATGAATCTCAAATTTGGGTATTCTTTCTTATGAACTGTGATTTGTTTATACTGCGAAGAAGAGCCAAGCATTGACAAAAGCTTCCATCGTGCAGTATTAAACTCTCTTAAGATTAAATTCAAATCGAACTTGCTTGAATTAAATCCAATCACATTTACATTTGAATATTCGTCTTCGAGTAGTTTTAGAAATTTTTCTTCTTGTTCAATTGTCTCTGGAAGCGGTGGAAGCTCCTACGTTTCAGGTGATCCACAATGTGAACCGAATTCAATGGCTTCGTTCTTCAATACTAAAATATTAGCAGGAAACGAATATTTTGATTTACCCAATGGAACAAAGTCATTAGGAAATCCACATCATGGACATCTTCGAATTACTCATTTAATTCCTAAGCCATCATGTCAAAATATATTATATTCTACCAAATACTCATTCTTCTTCATTTTCACATTCATAATTGACTCATAAATAATTTCATATTATTTTTCTTCTTTTTAATTGAGGTTTCAATTATAACATGAAAATACTACTTCATTATCAGTAATCAAGCGATAATGAATACTCAAATTATGTAATTCTATGAAATCAGAAATCAAAGCAAATAGAACTACATAATAAGATATCTCACTTGTATGTTCTAAATTTCTAAAATTAAATTTCATTTATCACTATTAAAATTTTACATCATTTGATATCATTACTAAATGGCTTATATTTCTCAATGGACAAATCGATACCCCTATTCATGGTGAAAAATCGCACTCCAATAATACAGAATTTCCTTTATTTTGGATATATTCACAAAAAAAGAAAAATTAGATTCAAATAAAGATCAAAATCATAAGTATCTATGACATTAAATTACTCATATAAAGGGAATTGTGACCCTGTTCAAATACATCTACTACCCGGAAGGTACTTATTTGAAGCTTGGGGTGCTGCGGGTGGAATAGAAAACGAAAATTTTTTTGGTAAAGGTGGGTATACTTCCGGTATAATTACTCTTACAAAACAAACTCGATTCTATGCGATAATAGGCAGTCGAGGTCAACGAGCCGTCAAAGCTATGACCACCCCTTTAGGTGGCTGCGGTGGTGGTGGAAAAGGAGGATTACCGTATTCTACAAATTACTTTTCTGGTGCAGGCGGCGGAGATGCCACTATAATATATTATGAAACTCAAGAATTGGGCTCACGCATCATGGTAAGTGGAGGTGGAGGTGGCGGAACGAGTAGTTCGTGTTTTTTAATGCCAGGCTATGTCGGCGGCGTTGTGGCCGGAAATGGCGGGTCAAACCGTATAAATTTGATCTCTATCGGCGGATCTCAGGATAATGGTACTCAAAATGGAGTGGGCCAAAATGGCAGAAATGGACAATTAGGAGATTGTGGAAAGGAAGGAAACCCTGGGTGTGGTGGCGGATACAGAGGTGGCATGACAACAACAGTAACTGGAGATTACAGTGATGTCTCTGGAAGCGGTGGAAGCTCGTACATATCTGGAGATCCGTATTGTAAAACAAATCCCTTAGCAACCTTTCATGACACGAAGATATTGGCCGGAAACAAATATTTTAATTTACCCGATGGAACTCAATCCTTAGGAAATCCAAGTCATGGCTATCTGCGAATTACTAAATTAGCTCCAATCCCTACCTGTCACATCATGTGCTATTTTACGAAACATTCATTTTTCTTTATCTTCATTTTTATTATTGAGACTTAATTAATTCTGAATCAAATTATTATTAAAGAATTATCATAAACTGTGTTGATATGAAATAGAAATATTTTATCATATCTCAAATTAATGGTATTTTTGAGCACATAAATTAATGCTTTAATAAATAAACAATTAAAATAAACCGAGTTTAGTACCTTCACTAAGTGTGAAGACATAGAAGGATGTGAAATATCGGTAGTGATTAGACTTCTTGCATGTGATGATGCTACATGATTTGATAGAGTCTCGATTAAGATGACATTCTCGATAAAGATGTTCAAGAAATGATTCCGTTTTGTTCTCTATGTCAATGCCACATGTGAGATGGATGCAGTTAGAGAATGCATGTGTCTGGATAGTTTTAACACAAATAGGGATGTTGATGTGAGTGAGAGATGTACAATCTGCAAATGCATAGTGGTAGATGGTTTCAACTGAGTTATCTGGGATAAGGATGTTGACAAGATTCTTGCATCCGAGGAATGCACCTGCTGAAATATTTCTGATTGAAGATGGGATGTAGAAGAACTTGTATGGTGATGCGGGAGGGAAGCAGACAAGTACTGTCTTATTCTTATCGAAAAGAGCATTGCTGTCGACTGTGAAGTACATGCTGTCGTTGCAAACAAATTGACGAAGTGATGTACATCCTTCGAAAACAAAGTAACCAAGTGATTTGAATGAACTGTTTTCACCAATGATGAATTTATCAAGATTATAACAGTTTTTGAATGCATAATCTGAGATTAATTTTGTATCATGTGGAACTGTGAATGTTGATAAATTCGTTGACTCAAATGCATTAGTTCCTATTTCTTCGATGGAATGTGGTAATGTGATGTATCGAAGTTTAGTTGCTCCATTAAATGTGTTTGCTCCAATTTTTTTAATTGGAGGATTTCCTAAAAATGTTATGTTTTCAATTCCTGAATCAGCAAATGCACGCGCATTAATATATTGAATTGTATCAGGAATCTCAATTGTTTGTAATGATGGACATGATGAAAAACAATTTTCTCCAATATGTGTAACATTAACCATTTTTACTGTTTTCAATTTTCCACAGCCATTGAAATTAAGAATGCCAAGTATAACACCATATGATCCTTCAAATGTGATTGTTTCTAGCTGACTACATCTCATAAATACATATCCTTGTAATACAGCAACATTTCTAAAGTGAACTTCAACTAAACCTGAACAAAATAAAAACGAGTAATAACCAAGAAAATTTATATTCTCAGGGAAATATAATTTTCTTAAAGATGTACACATACGAAAAGCAGATCCTTCAATGGTTTTAAGGGAAGCAGGAAAACTTATGTTAATAAGATTATAACAATTATTAAAAGCAGATCCTTCAATGGTTTTAAGGGAAGCAGGAAAACTAAAATTAATAAGATTATAACAATTATTAAAAGCAGAATTTCCAATTTTTGTCAAATTGGAATTTGAAGTGAAATTTATTGTTTTCAAAATTGTTAATGACATAAAAACTTCTGCTGATATCTCTTCAACTGAATCTGGAATGTTGTAGCTCTCTAGTTCACTCAATCTTTGAAATATAATTGTTTTATTTCGATTGTACAAAAGCCTCTGTGAATCAATAGAAAATAGAGAATCTTCTGGGAAAATAAGTTGAACATTGATTGGGAAACATGAACCTGAGATCTTTGAAAGACTTTTCGGAAGTTCAACACGTTTCAAGTTGTAGCATTGTGAAAATGCTGAGCTTTCAATTGTTGTTATGTTTCCTTTGAAAATTATATTCGTAATATTAGAATTTTGAAAGCAACTTTGAGGAATAACAGTAACTCCAGTATCAATAACAACTGTATCAAGATATTTGCATCCAGAAAATGCATTTGATTCAAGACTTGTCACCGAATCTGGAATTGAAACATTGATTAGATGAAATATATTATAACTATATACCTCATAAGGAACAAATCCCTCTTGATAGCTGGGAAACTTTCTCTGAATAACTTATCATTTGGAGAAAGTTTCCCAGCTATCTATTAGAAACTAAAGGCTGTGAGGCACTAATATATAATCAGTGCCTCATAGCCTTTAGTTTCTTATTAAAAACGAGAAAACTTGTTCGAAATGATAAACAATTTCGAACAAGTTTTCTCGTTTTAAGGAGGGAATTGTTCCTTATGAGGTATACATTATAACTATATACCTCATAAGGAACAATTCTTTCTTTAAATGGGAGAAACTTTGTCCGAATAGTTTAACATTCGGACAAAGTTTCTCCCATTTGTAGTGGAGATGGAAGGCTTTGAGGTATATTATATTAATATGTACCCCAAAGCCTTCCATCTTTATTGTACAATTTAAAAATTCAGGAAAAATGTAATAAGATTTTTATAAAAATTAAGCGTTTATTCGTAATTGTGTATTCAATGGTTCGGTATTTCTTTGATTTCGAAGTGTCCATCAATCATAACTCTCCAAAATGGCGTTTCACCCTGTTTCCAATGTGGGTCTCATTGTAACACTCTTCTGGAGTCATGGGGCGAAAACCCTTTTTTGGGAAGGGTTTTATGTGGTACTGAGTTGTAATTTTTCCGGAATTTATCAAGAAATTCTTGAATTTGTTTTGCATTTGAAGACCGGCCGACATTTCTTTCAAGAGACGGCCAGAGCCTTTCAATCTTGCCGTTCTGGCGCGGCATATGGGGGAGAGTGTGGCGGATTTGAATGTTGTTTCGCATGAGCCAATTATAAAATTGGCCCATATTCTCTCCCCCGTTGTCGGACCAGAAACAAAATGGCTTTTGATATAAGCCAATCGTTTCTTCGGCAACTCTTGTTGTAGATTCGGAAGATTTATTTGGCAAAATTTTTAAAGCCAACAAAAACCGAGATTTATCGTCTATTATACCATAAACAGGTAACCTCTGTGAACCGTATAAAAAATGAACATCTACATGCCATATGGTATCGGGTTTTGTTGCTTCATATGGCGTATAATATTTTTGAGAGGGCCTGTCACTTTTGGTTCTTTGATCTCCAAAATACTGTAAATTCTTCTGAGTTTATTGTAGGAAGCTGAATAAACATTTTGATCCATGTTTAAACGCCAAAACATCTTTTGGATTCCGCACTTATATTCCTGAAATTTTTGGAGAACATATTGCAAATTTTCAGGAGTAATATCATCTGGTGCCGGACCAGGTTTAACGTTTGGGGGCGTTAAATTTGCATTTGTGTATGCTGCTTTAAGTGTGTTTTTCGAAATTGATCTAAATTCACACTTCATTTCATCCTCGTATGGAACTCGCTTACACGCAATTAAATAATTGAGTTCGCGAGATTCAAGTTTTTCGCGTGTTTGAATTAACCACCAAGAAGGAATGGTTGGTCTACTCATAATAAAAAATGAAAAGCCAAATTCTCTCAAAAAGTTAAGTAGGACCAATTTTTTATAAAAAAATCCAATTCCATTATGAATGTTAATTAATTTATATAATTATTGAATAAAAAATTTTCTTTGAGATTATGAAAAGTTCTTTGAAAAGTTATTTTTTCTCATTTTTAAATATTGAAAAAAAAAAAAAAAAAAAAAAAAAGGTAGTGGGGCTTCCAGGCACTTCGTGCCCTCTAGCCCCAAAGATATTTAGTATAAATGAAGTTTTTATTCGGAAAATTGTTAGTCTTCTGGTGTGAATTCAGAGGACTCTTCTTCTTCCTCCATTGCTTCTGGGAAGAAGCCTTCTTCTGGGTCGAAAACATTATATAATGTGTCGCTTTTCACAAATTATATATGTTTTCATGCTTTGTCACTTTTCTGTCACTTTTCGGGTAAAAACATTTTTATTATTATATATAAATGAATTTTACAAAACCTCCGTTACCGTTCTTTGGAAATAAGAGTAAATGTAAAGATATTATATTGAGAGAACTTAAGAAACTACCGAATGGTCTAACATTTGTAGATTTGTTCGGTGGAAGTTTCTATATATCCCATTTATGTCATACAATATTCCCAGACTCAAAGATTATATGCAATGACTTCGACAACTATATGGACCGTCTCAAACATATTCCAGACACAAACAATATATTGAAAGAGTTAAAAGAAAAGATACCTATAGGTAAGATGGAACGTATACCATTAGATAACAAAAATATTGTGAGAGAGGTTTTGAAAAAAGCAGAATATATAGACTGGGATAGTATATCTGCTAGACTATTATATAGTGGTGCTATAAGAGTTCATGACATTGAAACACTTATGTCAAAAGTTTTATATCTTAACTATACAAATGTTTTCAAAGAGGACATAGAAAAATATATTGAGGGTATAGAGTTTGTGAGATGTCATTGGACAGAGTTGTATGAAAAATATAAAGACAAGGAAAATGTTTTCTTTATAGTGGACCCACCGTTCTATAACACATGGGATTTTCAATACCAAGTAGACTGGACTTTGAGAGACTCTTTAGAAACTTTAGACGTTTTACATAACCATCCATGCTTTTACTTTACATCCGATAAAAGTGGTTTGGAAACCGTTATGAGATGGTTAGAGGACATACATGACTATGAGTTTAGATACGATAAGATAGAATATGAGAGAGGTCCTATAAACTGGAGAAAGTGTCATAACAAAGAAATTTTACTAGTAAGTAAATGTGGTTTGAAATAGGACTACTTGTTTTAGGTTTTTTCCATTGTGTCATTTACTTATTTGACGTGGCAGAAAGATATAGAGAATATGAAGATGAACCAATGCCTGCAAATGTTCAGTATATGTACTCGTAAGAGATATTTTTATCTAATATTAAATGGACGCACAGAACTTAGCGAATGCACAGCAACCTGGACAACCAAACCCAGAGAATATTCCAAATGAAGTTAGAATACAAACTGCAATGGCAAACTATGGTCAAGTGCCAACAGATGTACAAATGCAAACTGCCATGTCAAATGACGCTGCGTTAGGTTTGCCACCATGGTATGCAAATATGAGATGGAAAGAGTTTTATACAAACCCTGAAGTGGGATATAAACAACTTTATGCAGATGACGCGAACACAGGAGTTGACCCAGAGTATGTTTTCTACCAGAGGAGAAACAGAATGTATGAGCTCCAGTTAAAGAATGCTATGGAACTCAACAGGAAACGTAAGAGACTAGGCGGACATTAGATTTTTACATATAGTAAAATGGGTTTCTTCAGTAGTATTGGAAACTTCTTTCGAAATGTTGGAAGAGGTATATGGAATGGAATAAAAACCGTAGGAAGAGGAATTTGGAACGGAGTCAAAAATATTGGTAAAAGGGTAGGTCAGTTTGTTGGTATTATACCTAAAGACCCTGAACCAGAAGAACAAGCTCCTGTTATACAACAGCCTGAACCTGCACCACAGTCTAGTTGGCAACCAAATCCAACACCTCAACCGTATTAAAAAATTATATTTTTATCGTTCGATAGTAGTTGTATATGAAACTAAGTTCTAAGTAAAACGCATGGTATAATGGAATTATTCTTTTTCTTCCATCTGTAGTAAACCATACTTGAAAGTCTGAAATACTTCCACTTGGTGGTTCGTATAACTTTGTAGGTTTTTCGTAAAAGTCATTTGCCAAGCATAAGAAAGAGTTTTGGGCGCCAGAAAATGAAGCATGAACAATAATAGCAGCTGGGTCGAAAACATCTTTAAATAAATATGGTTCATCTCTTGCATATCGACTGTAAATATTTGCTAAAGGAAGTTCGACTTTCTGATTTAACATTCTTTGCAAATAATACCATGACATTGCAGTGAATTCTGTATATATTTGTTCGTCTTTCTTTGGATTGTCTTCGTAGATTTGAAATGACACTTGTGAATTTTGTTTGTCATATACAATTCTCACATAAAGTGTGCTCTCGGTATTTGCATATTCATCAGCATATTTTGCATAACATGAATTTATTTTATCTTCTATATTTTTTAACGCAGTCTGTAGAGAAGATGAAAGGTCAACTTGTATTAGCTCAATTTCTTCCCACATTTTTCGTTTCCCTTCAGATATATAATCTATATGAAACCTTACAATAAATGGAAAACTTTTATCTTCTACAGACACAAACTTCATTCTACGAAAGCCAATAGCTTTTGTGACAGATGGGTCTCTTAGCCATCTTA